TGGTATATGGGGTCACCATGAGAGCCGACACAGCAAAGCTGTGTCTTTGTAGTCACATGAATCTTGGCTCAAATTCTGACTCTTCCGGTTTCTTTTTTTCCCCTCTTCTTTTTCTTTTTCTTTCTTTCTTTTTTGTTTGTTTTTGAGATACAGTCTCACTCTGTTGCCCAGGCTGGAGTGCAGTGGCGTAATCCTGGCTCATTGGAACCTCCACCTCCCGGGTTCAAGCGATTCTTCTGCCTCAGCCTTCTGAGGGGCTGGGATTACAGGCTTGTGCCACCACACCTGGTGTATTTTTGTATTTTTAGTAGAGATGGGGTTTTGCCATGTTGGCCATGCTGGTCTCGAACTCCTGACCCCAGGTGATCCACCTGCCTCAGGCTCTCAAAGTGCTGGGATTACAGGTGTGAGCCACCATGCTTGACCTGACTCTTCCAGTTTCTGCTGTGTGATCTTGGTCATGTTCTTTAATCTCACGGGGCCACCAGGCCTTAGTTTCCTCACTGAGAGCACAAGTATATAATTCATCTTATTTTTCATGAGCAGAGAAAAGTCATTTCCATGAAGAGCTAAGAAGCGCTCCATGCAGCAGGTGGTCAGTGCTCCAGTGACCCTCCTCCCCCACAGTGACAGCTCACCAAGCACTTTTACTTCCACAATCTCACGCAGTCTTGACAACCTCAGGACAATTATTTCCACTTGGCAGATAAAGAAACTGAGGGTCAGTGAGTGCAGAATAAAAGTCAGCCAGCAGTTAAAGGGATACTCAGGACTTGTCCCCAGGGCTTCTGACCTTTGCATGTGCTGTGGCAAACTCTTCTGCAACTCCTAGGCATCCTTCAAGGTCCAGTTCAAACATCACCTCTTCTAGGGAGCCTCTCCTGATACCTCCCTGTCTGTGCTCCATGGCACAGGGAGGCTTGTGATCTGGAGGCATGCATGGGGCTTTGGTAGAAAGTTTAGCTCCAGATTCAAGGCCCAGCTTCCCCCTCCCCACCTCCTGAGAAGATGGAGTGGTGATCACTCCGGTTACATCTCCCTCCTGATTTAAGAGGGTTTAACTTTCTTTGGTACTCAGAGAGGGTGGTGAGGTTTAAAATGAAGTCGATTCTTCGAAATGACAGCTGCCCTTCTCAGCATGGAGGACTCTGGAAATGGCCTTTGTGTGAACCTGTGCCATTTAATAGAGCATGGCCTCGGGCCTCAGTGTCCCTTTCTGTCCGGTGGAGTACTTCCTCGGAGGGTTGTCGGGGATCGCATGAGTTAATTTATCTAGCGCTTTCTTCACAGTGACTACTGGAAGCGTGGCACGAATGTGAGCTATTATTTTCATTAATCTTATTACTGAAGGGCGCACTTCGCGCGGGGTAATTGCCTGTTTACTGAGAGGCCTCCCCGGGCCGAGCACAGGGCCCTGGGCAGGGCCTGGCACTGAGCCCGGCTCCGCAGAGCTAGGCGAGGGGAGGAAGAAATGAAGACGCGTCCCCCGGGAGGTGATATTTGAGTGGGGAGAAGACGGAGAGGCTCCGGGAAGGGACCCGAGGCCGCGGCCAAGGCTCTAATGAAATGCGCGGCAACGGCTTCCGGGGCGCGCCCGGGGGAGCCCTTGGGACCCCCTAAGCTGCAGCTTAACCCCTGCGAGGGGCGGCGAGGGGCGGCAAGCGGCGGCCCGGGGTGGGGGCGGGGGCGGGGTGAGAGGCGTCCCGGAGTCCGGATCCGCTGGCTGGGGAGGGGCGGGTGTCTCCTGGAGGGCCCCAGGTTCCGGTTCTGCTCCCTGCCCCCCGTGCCCCTCTCGCTGCCTGGCCCCGGATTATTTACCCCAATCCGACCTCACTCCTAGCCTGCAGCTACGACCCTGGGTCAGGAGTCAGCCAGCCCTCATTCTGGTCCGGATCCAGCCTCTCACCGGCCGAGCGACCTTGGGGAGGGCACTGAACCTTAGGCGCGCAGGGCCTCAGTTTCCCCCTCTGCAAACTGAGAATAATCATAGCGCACGCCTTAGGGTTGTTGTGAAATTAAGTCAGTTAGTTCAAGGGCGTAGAACAGGTTCACAGTAAGTGCTCAATAAATATTGGGGGTTGTTTCTTTGATTGGCATCTTAAGGACATATTTGAGAGTCCTTTGGGGAAGGTGCTGAGCCTGGTGCTGAAAGCACCGGTTTGAATCCTGTTCTGTCACTGTGTGTGTGACCTCCGGGAAGGTCATTTCCGCCCTTGGAGCCTCAGTGTCCTCATCTGTAAGATGGGAGAATGTCCATGTTTGACAGTTGTGCAGATGAGGAGTAAAACCTGGGTGCTCGTTTGAGGAGCCAAGCGCGATGCCACCCGCTCTGTGTGCTCTACTAAACTCATGCAAGCCTGGGCACGGCAACCCCTTGGCCATTCCTTTCACTTACAAACAGGGGCTTATGGGTTTGCTCATAACTGGCTTGAGGTCCCACAGCCAGAACATGGGGCAGCTGAGGTGGGAAGGGAAGTCTCTCTGGTGCTGTGTGGCTTCTCCCAGCAAAGGAAAGAATGTGTGTCTGTTTTGTCAGCCACTGAACTGGGCAGGGCTTCAGGGAGAGGCTGGTGAGCCCAAGGCCCCTGTGAGAGTGAGGCAGGGCAGGCGTGGCCGTGAGCTCGGCAGAGGGCAGCCTTGACCTGAGCTCTCTCATTTCTGCTTCTTGCCTGAGCGGCCTTGGACAGCTGCTCATTACTGAGCCTCAGCTTCCTCACCGGGTACCTCCTGCTTCCCTGGTTATCTTTGCTGAGGTCCACTCTAGAAACAAGGAGTTTATCAGAGAGACTCGGGAGCCAGGTGAGGGTCTTGCTGGCAGAACACCAGCACAGGTCAAGGTGTGAAGGTGTGAATTGGATGGAGGATTGGCGTTGGAGGCTCAGAATGGCAGGAGTAGGGATGGACTTGCAGAAGAGGCTGGAGAGGCAAACAGGGGCCCGTGTGAATGGCCTTGATGATGAGCGAAGGGCTTGGATTTTATTTTGTGGCAGCCTCTGAAGGCTGAGTGTTGAGTTAGGGCTTGGGGCATTAGGTAACTCCACCCTCAACATCAACAAGAGCACCGGTCTCCCACTGAGAGCCTGCACCTTGCCCAACACTTGATGAGTTTCATTTAATCATCCTCAGAACAACCCTCTGTCTCAAGTTGGCACTTGAATAATCACCATTTGAGTCACAGAGAGGTTAAGGAAGTGGTCTGGGGTCACACAGCTGCTAAGGGTGGAGTTGGGATTTGAAGCAGGATGGCCAGCTTCAGTGTCCGCACCCTTAATCATTTTCCCCTTTTGCTTCCCTATGTGGCCAGCCCTGAGCACTAGCCCTTCCAGGGCGGACTCTAAGAAGTCTCAAGGTCATGCATGGATCTGTCGGTCTGTGTCCAGCCGATTCCTGCTTTGTACCTGGGCTCTTGGGCCTAGGCTGACTGATGGCACAGCTTTAATGGAGTGGCCTTGGCTGCTGAGATGACGGGGAGGGGAGCAATTTCTCAGAAATCCAATAAGTCGAGTGACTCAGTGTGTGGGCAGCCCCCTTCCCACCCCCCACCTCAGCTCTGGTCTCAGCTGACTGAGGTCATGGGTCATGGTCACCCCCACCCCACCCTCTACCCCAGCCTGCCCCAGCCTGCCCCAGCCCCTCCTTCCTGGCTGGGGTCTTGGGAGTGTAGTCTGAAGACTGCCCCCAACCTTTCGCCTGAGTCCCCCATCAGGTGCAGCCTCCTTAGTCTCTGCTTTCTGTCCTGGCCCTGTGCCACCCTCCTGGACCCTCTGTCTGGGTCATCTTTCCCAAAGGCAAATTGGATCTTGTCTCTTTCCTGCTCTCTGCTGCCCCAGAGGGAGTCCCAAATCTCCCAGACAGTCCAGAAAGGTGGTTGCCATCATCTCCCACCCACCTTCCCAGCTCTGTGTCCTGAAACTCCCCCAGGCACAGTCAGTAAGCATCTCCTTGTGCCTCCAAGAGTCTCTGAGCTTCTGTAACTAACTGCTGTCCCCGCTGCTGGGAATGTGCTTCCTCTCATCGTCATGGTGAAATTCTACTTAGCGTTCAAGTGCCTCCTCCTCCTGAAAGCCTTCCCTGATTTCCCCTGGCGGGCCCAGTTACTCCTTCCCGTGTGCCCCCAATGCCTGGTTTGTGCTGGTATTAGCGGTGATTCCATTGCATGACAATTATTTGATTAGTTTTCCCCTCTCCCCATCAGACTTTGAAAACTCCTCAGTAATATCCTAATAGCTGCCATCACTTACTATGTATTAGATATGCTTACTATGTACTAGATACTGTGCTAAGACTTTACCTGCTTGATTTTCAGTTTTTCTCAACAGCCCTAGAGGCAGGCACCACGCTTGTCCCCATTTTACTGAGATGAATGGAAGCACAGCCAGGTGAAATGACTTGCCTGAGGTCATACAGCACTTAAGTGGCAAAGCAGTCTCTTCAGAGGTAGCCTCTTAACCAGCCCTCTCTGCTGCTTCATTCTTCCACACTCAGGCCCCCGGCACAGATCAGCCGTGCCCAGAGATTTGCTGAGTGAATGAATGAGCAGGAGACCTCCCACAGCCAGGTGTCTAGATTGGGAGGTTTAAGGGAAGGGAGCTAGCATAGAGTGAGCTCGTGAGTGTGACAGGAGTGCCCCCAGCAGCCCTGGGGCCCTCATACCGTTATAGATTGAGTGTCGCTAACAGGAGAATCTGAAATCTAAGATACTCCAAAATTGGAAACTTTTTCAGCACTGACATGATATTCAAAGGAAATACTCACTGGAGCATTTTGCATTTCTGATTTTCAGATTAGGGGTGCTCAACTGGTGTAACACAAATATCCCCAAATCCAAAAAGGTTCAAAATTCAAAACACTGCTGGTCCCAAGCATTTCAGATAAAGGATACACAACCTGTATCTCAGTTTACAGATGAGGAAACAGAGTCTTGGAGTCCTATTAAAGGACTCGCCCAAGCCCAGAGTAAATTGGTTCCAGGGGCAGAGTCTGCAAGATTCAGAGTCCAGGTTGGGACAAAGGTCTGGGGGGCCCTCTGCTTCTGGAGCAGAAAGAGAGGCTCCTTTTATTTCACCAAAGCTCCCCCTCCAGAGATTGGGGACATGGCCTTGACTGTTGTCAGGGGGCCAGGGAAGGGCATGGTCAGCACGTTTTCAAGTAAGAATGCAGCGGAAGCCTGGTGAGGAGAGGCCATTTGGAGTGTCTGCTGGAGGAGGGAGAAAGTGAGTTTAAGTCGTGGGTAAGAACCTGGGCTTTGGAAGTGGACAGTGCTCAGTTTGAGTCCTGCCTCTGTTATCTGTTAGCTATGTGACCTTGGGAAATGCCTTAACCTCTCAGAATCTTACTAACCTTGTCTGTAAAATGGGGATACTATGCCTCACATCAGGCTTTACTGAGGATCATAAACTGTAGCACCCAAAGTGTTAATACTTGGCACATAGCACTTTGTAGATATTACTGTTTATTAGTAGAGTCCGACTTAGGCTAGAATTTGGGTGAGGCTGAGTTGATAGAATTTTGAGGGAACACCTCTGCCCCAGGCTGCCGGTCTGTTTGGGACCTGTCTGCACTTGGCTGTGTCTCAGGATCACCCAGAGGACTCTGCTAGGGATTGGGACAGGACTGAGCTCAGAGCTGGGGCTTGGGTCATAGCAGAATGAAGAGTGCAACAGACTGGAGTTAGAATCCTGGGTTTCCCACATATTGGCTGGGCTGACCTTGGACAATGTACTTGCTCTCTCTTTTTATCTTTGTTTTTTTGAGACAGGGTTTCCCTCTGTCACCCAGGATGCAGTGCAGCCGCCTGACCGTAGCTCACTGCAGGCTTGACCTCCTGGGTGTAGGTGTTCTTCCACCTCAGGCTACAAAGTAGCTGGGACTACAAGCGCAGGCCACCATGCCCGACTGTTTTATTTTTTATATTTTTAGTTCGAGGCTATTCTTGAACTCCAGAGCTCAAGTGATCCTCTCGGCTCTGCCTCCCAAAGTGTTGGGATTACAGGCATGAACCCCCAAGCCTGGGGCCACCGCTATCTTTAAGCTTCAGTTTCCCTCTCTGTAAAATGGGGGTAATATCACCCATCCCAACAAGGAGTTTGGTTAGGATTAAGTAACATCATGGTGCCAGCCCTTAGACCTCAGCGAGTGTTTTATTTTTATTTTGTTTTTTGTTTTTTTGAGACCGAGTTTCGCTCTTGTTACCCAGACTGGAGGGCAATGGCGGGATCTCGGCTCACCGCAACCTCCGCCTCCTGGGTTCAAGCAATTCTCCTGCCTCAGCCTCCAGAGTAGCTGGGACTACAGGCACGCGCCACCATGCACAGCTAATTTTTGTATTTTTAGTAGTGACGGGGTTTCACCTTGTTGACTAGGATGGTCTCGATCTCTTGACCTCGTGATCCACCCGCCTCAGCCTCCCAAAGTTCTGGGATTATAGGCGTGAGCCACCGCGCCCGGCCGTGTTTTATTTATTTATTTTTAATGATTTTCCTCCCCAGCAGTTTTCCACGTCAAATTATTTGTTTCTGGAGAACGACCACGTAGCTGCTTGTAGCTGGCTTTCTTCCGTCCCTCCATCCACCCGCGGTTGGTGCCTGCAGGAGTCAGAGCTGACGCGGGCACTGTGGATCCAGAGGCGGCAGAGGAGAGGGGTCAGGAGAGGCCGCTCCGGGCTGACGTCCCTGGCTCAGTTCTGCAGGCCGGCTGGGGCGCTGCCTGTCCGAAGGCACAGAGGCCTGCCCGTGGAACTGTGCGGAGCGCTATGCAAATCGTCATGGGTTAGGGGTAAAGCAAAGCCCCAGTGTTTCCAGCATTCTTCCCGGCCCTGCCGCCTGCCTCTCCGGACGCGGACCTCCTGCAGACGAAGCGCGGGTGCCCTCTGCTGGCCTTCCTGCCGACTGCACCTTCTACTTTGGGGACTCCCAGCCCCCGCGTCTGTGGGAGGCAAATGTCCAAAAAAGGTGGAGTATCTAAACTGGAAAGACCCTCAGAAATCATCCAACCCCGACTTCCCGATGGAGACGTGAGGCCCTGTGTGGAGCAGGGAGCTTGCTCTGGGCAGGAATTCAGGTCCCTGAATCCAGTGGAGGCTGGGCAGTCAGTGCCTGGGGTAGGGAGGTGCCCAGGGAGGGTTCTTGCCGCTGAGCTGCAGCCTGCTGGAGGTGGGATGGGGGATGGAGGGTGACTGCGGAGAGCAGAGGGGGTTTCAGATTCTCAGCCCCTTGCCCCATCTGGCTGGATCAGTCATGGGATTTCCTGTTTTGTCTTGGAGCCGCGACATTGCAACCTGATAGCCATGGAATAGGAGCTCAAGATATGTGTGTGTGTGTGAGTGTGTGTGAGTGTGTGTGAACGTGTGTGTGAGTGTGTGTGAGAGTGTGTGAATGTGAGTGTGTGTAAGTGTGTGAACGTGTGTGTGAATGTGAGTGTGTGAATGCGTGTTTCTGTGTGTGAATGTGTGTATTTGAGTGTGTGTAAGACTGTGTGTGTGAACGTGTGTGTGTGAATGTGTGTGTATTTGTGTGTTGTGAGTGTAAGCGTGTGTGTGTGTGTGTGTGCCTTAAAGGGAGATGTTGGCATCAATCATAGGTGTTGTGGGCTGGTGACATCACCCCTCTACTGCCCTGATCTTCCTTTAAAGCCCTTCCTTTCTCCACTACTAAGTCCCCAGCCGCTGCCACTGTCACCTGGCCCTTGGTTCACCAGCAAAGGTGGTGGTGGATGAGGGGACATGAAAGCAGGAAAGACCCTTACTTTTAGAGCCCCCATAGAAGACAGCCATGGGTGCCAAAGCTAGGATGGGCTCAGAATGGGCGGGCTTCATCGGCCATCAGAAGTGGGGCCGGGGTAGGAGAGGCAAGATGAGGACAGCGCTCAAGCTTCTGGCCTAGATGATGGGTTGTGCCCGGGTGGGATGAGGAGCTTGGGGAGACCACAGCCACCTGATGCCTGGAAGCTCATTCCCTGTGAGAGCACCCTTTCCTGTCTCGTCCTCCGGCAGGGCTGCTGTGGGTGTGTGTGCACGTGTGTGTGCATAGGCACTGTGTGTGTGTGCTGTGTATGTCCATGTCCATGAGCTGGGAGCCTGGGTTTACTAGGGACGGGGGCCTAAGACTGGGAAGAGGCCTGCCTGGGCTGGGAAGTGACCCTTTGTCCCAGTACGGGTCACATCAAGGCCTGTAAGACTGCAGTCTGTTCCTGGTTGATGATGGGGTGGGGGCTGGCTTAGCCTGGCTTAGGGTGCAGGGAGTTCCAGGCCTCCACCCATCTTCCCCAGCATGGGGCCTTAGGCAAGTCTGCCTCTTTCTAAGCCTCAGTGCCCTCATCTGACAAACGGGACAATGCAGTGTAGATGCCTGGAGAGGGCGAATGAGGCATTGGGGAGGAGTGCTCAGGGCCGTGCCTGGCAGGCACACCGTGGGCTGAGGGTGAAGAGCGGAAGGTAATGTTATTTCTTAGCTGGGTGCTCTGTGCTTGGTAGTTGGGCCCCATCTCCCTCTCTGATTTTATTGCTCCCAGGCCTTCCTCCTCACTCTGCTCCGGCTGCACTGGCCTCCTTCCATGCCTGGAGAACACTGGGTTCATTCCCGTCGGGAGCCTTCACAGCTCTTCATGGCTCTTCCTGCTGCTGGGTTTGTCGTTACATGGCAGGTTCCTTCTCAGCCCTCAGGTGCCTGCCTAATGTCACCTCCCTGCAGCAGCCTCCCTGACTACTATAGTGAGGCACCTACTGTGCCTCCCTCACCCTCTCCCTCTCTCCCTTCCTCCCTTCTCTGTCTCTGTCTCTTTATTTCTCTTCCCTTCCTTCCTTCCTCCCTTTCTCTCTCTCTTCTCTCTCTTTCTTTCTTCTCTTTCTCTTTCTTGCCCTCCCTCCCTTTCTTTTCTTTCTCTCTTTTTCTTTCTTTCCTCTCTTTCTTGCCCCTCCCTCCCTCCCTCCCTCCCTCCCTCTCCTTCCTTCCTTCCTCTTTTTTAAAGACAGGATCTTGCTCTGTTGCCCAGGCTGAGTACAGTGGTGCAATCATAGCTCACTGTAACTTTGAACTCCTGGATTCAAGGGATCCTCCCACCTGAGTCTACCAAAGTGCTGAGATTACAGGCATGAGCCACCATGCCTGGTCCCTGTTGTCTGCGGCACTGTTGTCGGAGCAGGTGCTGCTGGAGGGTGCATAAATGTGCATGTATGTTCACCTATGTGCTCACATATGTGCCTGGACATTTGGGGAAGATTGAGGCACTTTCTAATACTGTCCTACACCTGCCGCCACCAGAGCCTGAGTGACTTGCTGACTGTGTGTTACCCCACCCCCTCTCTCAGGCTGTGAGCCTCTTCAGGCTGGGGACCTTGTCTCTTGTGTTCCCAGCCATGTCTCTGGTGCCTGTAACAGTGTCCCACACATAGGCCCTCAATATTTATGTGATTTATGTGTGGACTGTGGAGAGGCTTCTAGTGCATGGTAATTTGGAGCCAGACGACCCTGGCTTGAAACCCACAACCCTGGCTCCATCCCTCATTGGCTATGTGAGTCTTACTGGGCCTCAGATTCCTCATCTGTCAGATGAGGCTAAGGAGAGTGACATCACAGCGGGTTGTTAGGAACCACGTCGTGTATGCCAGGAGTGACGGAGAACAAGAACCATGCTGGCCTCATCAAGCCATGACCGGGCGCTGCTCTAAGACTTCTATTCCTTTCAACCTACTCCATCCTCATAACCGCCTTGTGAGGGAGGATTATGATTATCCTGTATTACAGATGAACACACTGAGACCCAGGGAAGGAAGTCCCATGCCCGGTGATGACCGTGACTCCCCAGCAGTGCTGTAGACGCAGTAGCTTTTGAGGGTCCAGCCAGTTTCCTCCTTGGCATTAATCAGTGCTCAGGAAGGTCTGGAAATCAGGTGATCTGAGCCCTCGGGCATCTCTGTGCTGACTTGCTGCGACCCCAGGGGAGGCTGTACCCCTAAGGCCCCCTCTAGAGCGGCATTTGTGCACGTGCATCATGAAGGCATGGGGCCAGGTTGTGGTGGGTGGTGGGGGGTGTGCAAACTCCAGTGCCTGGGGTCAGGCAGGGAATGGGAGAGGGCAGTTGGAACCAGGAGGGCTGGATGGAGCTGGGCAGCGGCCACTCAGCTCTGGCTGATCATGGCCAGGCGGGAATGCACGCCCTATTGCCAAATCTTTGAACTTTTCAAGAGAAGCAGAGAATTTGGATTTTTAAATGTGAAATCTGATTTTTAAATGTTGGCAACAATTTAAAAAGAAAGAAAGAAAGAAAGGCACTGTGTAGGCCAAACAAAGCTCATTTGTGGGTTGCATTTGAGCTCGTGGCTGTCACTTTGCTATCCACGAGATACTCAGTATCTAGAGGCCCCTTCCTGTCCCTGGGCCTTTGATAAAAATGACTCACACCGTTAAGCACTTACTGTGCACAGGGGCGGGTGTGATGTCATTCAGCTCTCTCCCTACCGCCTTACCTGCCATGTAATATTTCCCCGCCAGGCAATGTTGTCATCTTCATTTGATAGGTGGGCAAACTGAGAACCAGAGAGGTTAAGTAATGTGTCTAGGATCACACAGCTAGTAAACGGCGTTGCTGGGGCAGCCTTGCTGAGCAGGGCTTTCCTGCTCCAAAGCTCACCCGTGTAACCATTTTCCCATACTGCCACAATGAACTTGACCTCCTACCCTCCAGGGCTCCCCCATGCTGGCCCCCTGGGGACTCCTGCACTCACTGGCTGACCGCAAGGTTCATCTAGCATAGTCTTAGTCCAGAAGGAGGGATGACCAAGGCAGGTGACCTGATTTTGCCAGGACTCTGGGTTCTCCTCTCTCCAGGTCCCCAGGCTGCCCAGGGGATCTGCTGGCCTGATGAGAAACCTGCTGAAGCAGCACCAAGGCCATGGCCCCCTCCAGCAGCCCAGCCACAGACTGGAGGAAATGTCTCCTCCTTCTGGAAATCCTGGTGGGGAGCCGGCCAGTCCCTGCATCAGCCATGCTGCTGTCCAGGTTGCATATTTCTCCAGCAAACTTTGCTTCAAACTAGGGCTGAAACTCCCCCAGGTGTCTCCAAGACCTCATGTGTCCAGGCTCAAGTGGGTGCGTGGCTCTGCGAAGGTCACTGTGTGTGAGGGTGAGTGTGCCCAGGCGTCTGTGTCTGGGTAGAGGAAGGCACATTGCCTGAATCTGCACGGTGGCCTTAGCCGTCCACTCGGGGGACAGGGAGCTGTCTAGGGACACTGATGTCAGAGCAGGTACTGCTGGAGAGTGCATGAATGTGCATGTATGTTCACCTGTGTGCTCCTATGTGTGCCTGGACCTGTGGGGAAAGATTTAGGTTTTTTGTTTGTGTTTGAAGTCTAATTATTATGCAGCAAAATGTGCAAATCTTCTTTTTTTTTTTTTGAGATGGAGTCTCGCTCTGTTGCCCAGGCTGGAGTGCAGTGGCACGATCTCAGCTCTCTGCAACATTCGCCTCCCTGGTTCAAGCAATTCTCCTGCCTCAGCCTCCCGAGTAGCTGGGATTACGGTGCCTACCACCACACCCAGCTAATTTTTGTATTTTTTAGTAGAGATGGGGTTTCACCATGGTGATCAGGCTGGTCTTGAACTCCTGATCTCAGGTCATCCACCTGCCTAGGCCTCCCAAAGTGCTGAGATTACAGGTGTGAGCCACCATGCCTGGCCACACCCTGGTTTTTAAAGTGGCAGAGCCTAGGATCCAGAGAGGAGACTGCCCTGGTCTCGGCTGCATTGGCCTGCCCAGGTCTTGGCCTCCTTCAGTTCTAGCAGCAACTGGGTGGGATATGAAGGCACTTTGATCATGCCTTCCCATCCTCGGCCCCCTGGGCACTGTCAGCTCCCAAGCGGGAGGCAGTGTGGGGCCACGAAGAGATAGCTGGCTTTGCAGCCACGCAGGGGACTTGAGGTCGAGTCCCGGCTCTGCCACTTATTTGCGGAGTAAT